CCCTCCAGCCGATGGTGCTCTAGGCGACCGCCTAGTTCGCCTATGCCAAGACCCAGCTCTGTATTTGACAAATGAACACAGTAAAAACATTATTGCCCTTTGGTGTTGGGCAATAACAAATTTACTATTGCAAAAGCCAGAACTCAGGTTTTTGAACTCACAGGCGTTTCAATAGAATCACTGAGGGATTTCCTTCAGCCGATTGGTGGATAAATCGAACTTTCTCCTCCTGTCCTGTAATCCTCACACAGGAGGAGTGTATTAACATCGTCTGCGTACACGTACCTGTCTGTCTGCAGCCTGTCATATGTGACATTCTCCACAGCTACATTTTCACATCGTTTCATTTGATCTTCATCAGCCTGCAAACATGACCATCAGAACAGCCCGTCCAAACCGGGGACAAGCCTTTCGCTCTCGTATGCACTGCCTCAGAAAGGTGGGTGAAAGAAATGTTACTACAGTTTGCATGAGACCTTGCTTCTTTTGTAGTTTATGCTGTCAGATTTCCCAACAGGAAAGCATATTTGATGATTACATGTAAGAATCTGAAGTGCATTTCCACAGGGATTGGACAGAATGTGTTTGCCAGTAGCTAAAGCTCTCTTAAAATAATCTGTAACTCCACTTTAAATCTTATTAGCGTTGCTGCCTGCAGTCGTGTCAGTGTGGTGGAAAGAGTTAAGCAGTAAAATAAGGCTCTACACTAAAATTCATAAAATTTGTGGGTCTGTAAGACAAACAAAACAATGTTTACTGTTGATGCAATGTAAACACTGAATGGCTGAAACTGAGTTAATAAAGCACAAAGTTGCAAAAGGCTAAAAGCTAAACAGCAAAATGTTTTTGAGGACAGTAATGAGACCACCACTCTCAGAGCTGGTGCATATTTTAATTAATTGTAACTGCATCTTGCTGACTGTCCTGAGAGAAAATAAGTAAAGATCAGTGGTGGAGGAAGTACTCAAACACTGTACATAAGTAAAAGTACAGATAAACAGACAAGAACGTACTCTAGTAAAAGTAAAAGTACCACATTAACATATTACTTGAGTAAAAGTAAGTACTTGCTTTTAAAAATACTTAAAGTATT